GAAGAGAAGCAAAGCGAAGCTAAGAGGAGCGAAGCAAAGCTAAGGGAAGCGAAGCGAAGCTAAGGGAAGCGAAGCAAAGCTAAGCGAAGCGAAGTGAAGCTAAGCGAAGCGAAACTAAGGTAAGGGAAGCGAAGCTAAGCGAAGCGAAGCGAAGCAAAGCAAAGTGAAGCGAATCTATGCAAAGGTATGCAAAGCTAAGCGAAACTAAGCGAAGCAAAGAGAAGCGAAGCGAAGCTAAGCGAAGAGAAGCGAAGAGAAGCGAAGCGAAGCTAAGCGAAGCTAAGAGAAGCGAAGCGAAGATAAGCGAGGCGAAGCGTGGCTAAGCGAAGCGAATCGAAGCTAAGGGAAGCGAAGCCAAGCTTAGCGAAGCGAAGCTAAGCAAAGCTAAGCGAAGCGAAGCAAAGCGAAGCGAAGCAAAGCTAAGCGAAGCGTAGCCAAGCTAAGCGAAGCTAAGCGAAGCGAAGCTAAGCGAAGCGAAGCTAAGCTAAGCGAAGCGTAGCCAAGCTAAGCGAAGCTAAGCGAAGCGAAGCTAAGCGAAGCGAAGCAAAGCTAAGCGAAGCGTAGCCAAGCTAAGCGAAGCTAAGCGAAGCGAAGCTAAGCGAAGCGAAGCTAAGCTAAGCGAAGCGAAGCTAAGCGAAGCGAAGCAAAGCTAAGCGAAGTGAAGCGAGGCTAAGCAAAGCTAAATGAAGCGAAGCAAAGCAAAGCAAAGCTAAGCGAAGCTATGCGAAGAGAAGCGAAGCGCAGCTAAGGGAAGCGAAGCGAAGCTAAGCAAAGCGAAGCAAAGCTAAGCAAAGCTAAGCGAATCTAGGCGAAGCGAAGCAAAGTTAAGCAAAGCTAAGCGAAGCGAAGCTAAGCTAAGAGAAGCGAAGTGAAGCTAAGGGAAGCTAAGCGAAGCTAAGCTAAGCTAAGGGGAGCGAAGCGAAGCTAAGCGAAGCTAAGGGAAGCGAAGCGAAGCTAAGCGAAGAGAAGCGAAGAGAGGCTAAGCTAAGCGAAGCTAAGCGAAGAGAAGCGAAGCGTAGCTAAGTGAAGCTAAGCGAAGTTAAGCGAAGCGAAGCGAAGCTAATCGAAGCGAAGCGAAGCTGAGCAATGCGAAGCGAAGCTAAGCGAAGCTAAGCGAAGCTCAGCGAAGCTCAGCAAAGCGAAGCAAAGAGAAGCGAAGCGAAGCTAAGCGAAGCTAAGAGAAGCGAAGCGAAGCGAAGCAAAGGGAAGCGAAGCGAAGCTAAGCGAAGCAAAGGGAAGCGAAGTGAAGCTAAAAGAAACAAGCGAAGATAAGCGAAGCGAAGCGAAGAGAAGCGAAGAGAAGCGAAGAGAAGCGAAGAGAAGCGGAGCGAAGCGAAGCTAAGCGATGCTTAGCTAAACGAAGCAAAGCGAAGCTAAGCTAAGCGAAGCGAACCGAAGAGAAGCGTAGCGGAGCTAAGCGAAGTTAAGAGAAGCAAAGCGCAGCGAAGCGAAGCAAAGCTAAGTGAAGCTAAGCGAAGCGAAGCTAAGCTAAGCGAAGCAAAGCTAAACGAAGTGAAGCGAGGCTAAGCGAAGCTAAACGAAGTGAAGCAAAGCAAAGCGAAGCTAAGCGAAGCGAAGCGAAGCTATGCGAAGAGAAGCGAAGCTGATCGAAAGCGAAGCAAAGCAAAGCGAAGCAAAGCAAAGATAAGCGAAGCTAAGCGAAGCAAAGCGAAGCTAAGCAAAGCTAAGGGAAGCGAAGCGAAGCTAAGCGAAGCGAAGCTAAGCTAAGGGAAGCGAAGCGAAGCGAAGCGAAGCTAAGCGAAGCGAAGCAAAGCTAAGCAAAGCTAAGCAAAGCTAGGCGAAGCGAAGCAAAGCTATGCGAAGCTAAGCTAAGAGAAGCGAAGTGAAGCTAAGGGAAGCTAAGCGAAGCTAAGCTAAGCTAAGGGAAGCGAAGCGAAGCTAAGCGCAGCTAAGGGAAGCGAAGCGAAGCTAAGCGAAGCGAATCTAAGCGAAGAGAAGCGAAGCGAAGCTAAGCTAAGCGAAGCGAGGCTAAGCTAAGCGAAGCTAAGCGAAGAGAAGCGAAGTGTAGCTAAGCGAAGCTAAGCGAAGCGAAGCGAAGCTAATCGAAGCGAAGCGAAGCTGAGCAATGCGAAGCGAAGCTAAGCGAAGCTAAGCGAAGCTCAGCAAAGCGAAGCGAAGCGAAGCAAAGAGAAGCGAAGCGAAGCTAAGCGAAGCTAAGAGAAGCGAAGCGAAGCGAAGCAAAGGGAAGCGAAGCGAAGCTAAGCGAAGCAAAGGGAAGCGAAGTGAAGCTAAAAGAAGCGAAGGGAAGATAAGCGAAGCGAAGCGAAGAGAAGCGAAGAGAAGCGAAGAGAAGCGGAGCGAAGCGATGCTTAGCTAAACGAAGCGAAGCGAAGCGAAGCTAAGCTAAGCGAAGCGAAGCGAAGAGAAGCGAAGCGAAGCTAAGCGAAGTTAAGAGAAGAAAAGTGCAGCGAAGCGAAGCAAAGCTAAGTGAAGCTAAGCTAAGCGAAGCAAAGCTAAGCGAAGTGAAGCGAGGCTAAGCGAAGCTATACGAAGCGAAGCAAAGCAAAGCGAAGCTAAGCGAAGCGAAGCGAAGCTATGCGAAGAGAAGCAAAGCGCAGCTAAGGGAAGCCAAGCGAAGCGAAGCAGATCGAAAGCGAAGCAAAGCTAAGCAAAGCGAAGCAAAGATAAGCGAAGCTAAGCGAAGCGAAGCAAAGCTAAGCAAAGCTAAGGGAAGCGAAGCGAAGCTAAGCGAAGCGAAGCTAAGCTAAGGGAAGCGAAGCGAAGCGAAGCTAATCGAAGCGAAGCAAAGCTAAGCAAAGCTAAGCAAAGCTAGGCGAAGCGAAGCAAAGCTATGCGAAGCTAAGCTAAGAGAAGCGAAGTGAAGCTAAGGGAAGCTAAGCGAAGCTAAGCTAAGCTAAGGGAAGCGAAGCGAAGCTAAGCGCAGCTAAGGGAAGCAAAGCGAAGCTAAGCGAAGCTAATCTAAGCGAAGAGAAGCGAAGCGAAGCTAAGCTAAGCGAAGCGAAGCTAAGCGAAGCAAAGCGAAGCGAAGCGAAGCGAAGCGAAGCGAAGTGAAGTGAAGCGAAGCGAAGCGAAGCTAAGCGAAGCTAAGCGAAGCTAAGAGAAGCGAAGCGATGTTAAGAGAAGCGAAGCGAAGCTAAGCGTAGCGAAGCAAAGCTAAGGGAAGCGAAGCAAAGCTAAGCGAAGCTAAGCGAAGCTAAGGGAAGCGAAGCGAAGCTAAGCGAAGCTAAGCGAAGCTAAGCAAAGCTAACCGAAACTAAGCGAAGCTAAGCAAAGGGAAGCTGAGCGATGCGAATCGAAGCTAAGTGAAGCTAAGCGAATCTAAGCGAAGCGAAGCAAAGAGAAGCGCAGAGAGGCGAAGCAAAGCTAAGCAAAGCAAAGCAAAGCAAAGTGAAGCAAAGCTAAGCGAAGCAAAGCTAACCGAAGCGAATCTAAGCGAAGCTAAGAGAAGCGAAGCGAAGCTATGGGAAGCGAAGCGAAGCTAAGAGAAGAGGAGCGAAGCGAAAATAAGCGAAGCGAAGCGAAGCTAAGCGAAGCTAAGAGAAGCGAAGCGAAGCTAAGCAAAGCTAAGAGAAGCGAAGCTAAGCAAAGCTAAGAAAAGCGAAGCGAAGCGACGCTAAGAGAAGCGAAGCGAAGCTAAGACAACCGAAGCGAAGCGAATCGAAGCGAATCTAAGCGAAGCAAAGCTAAGCGAAGCGAAGAGAAACGAAGCGAAGCTAAGCAAAGCGAAACGAAGCTATGCGAAGCGAAGTGAAGATAAGCGAAGCGAGTCAAAGCAAAGCGAAGCAAAACTAAGCAAAGTGAAGCTAAGCGAAACGAAGAGAAGCTAAGTAAAGCAAAGAGAAGCGAATCGAAGCTAAGCGAAGCGAAGCTAAGATAAGCGAAGCTAAGAGAAGCGAAGCGAAGCTAAGCGAAGCGAAGCAAAGCGAAGCGAAGCGAAGCTAAGCAAAGCTAAGCGAAGCAAAGCAAAGCTAAGCAAAGCTAAGCCAAGCTAAGCAAAGCTAAGCGAAGCGAAGCTAAGCGATGCGAAGTGAAGCTAAGTGAAGCTAAGCGAAGCGAAGGGACGCAAAGAGAAGCGAAGCTAAGCAAACCTAAGAGAAGCGAAGCGTAGCGAAGCTTGTTAGGATTAAGGACAGAGTCTAGGTGAACTTAGGAGCTAGAATTACTCAAAATATAAATCCGAAATTCTGGACAGAAAAGTCGTCTTCACAAGAAACGACGTCGACAAAAACCTAGCCGTTGGAATGTCGCGAAACTTGGATATGTTGTAGCTCTTAATCTCAGCTACCGTTCCCAATTTGAATCACGTTGATTGATGAAGTATTCGCGACGCTATGGCTTTCGACGCACTAGGGGGTAAGCTGTAGGAGGAGAACTTAACTCAATCTCAAGAGTTCAATCAAAGTTCAAGAATCTCACAAGGAATTAGAAGGAGCAAGAGAAAGGTTGGGATAGGAAGAGAGGGATGAGAGGGAAGGTCCCAAGAGAGTCCCCAACCAAGGAAACCCCATAAGCACAAAGATTCCCTCCCTATAGGAACCTCAACTTTGACCTTTGTCCCTTCCCAACCAATCCATCCAAGTTGGCCACCCTTGCCAACCTAGCTTGGTTGTTCCCAACCAATTTGCAGCTGTTACAGTAGAGTGACAAGTTTCCCCAACCCCAAAGGTCCCAACTCCATATAAAGTCACCCCACAACTTCACTTAGTAACCGCCGCAATTGTAACGCAAGCTCATGAACTTTGAATCTTCATAGCTTTCGCGTTCTTGCTCCGATTGAAGCGATTCTTGTTGCGTCGGAAAGATCTTCTCAAGATCTATCATCACAAATACCTGCTCAGACAGAATAACACAAAACACATTCCCAAACTCCAGAACACACCACACACAAATGCTTGCACATTCAAACCACACATGCAAGTTGAAAAAACATGGGATGGGAGGCAGACAGAATGTGATAGCATATGATGACATCACACAACAATCTCCCCCTCTGGCTGCCAACCATCATCCACCATACCACATCTCAAGCATGCATACTCAATGCACACTCATCCCAGCAAGCTTCATGCCCTTCCAATGATCCGCCTCCGCCAGACGCTTGGTGAAAATATCTGCTGCCTGCTGATGGGTCTTCACTATCTCCAGCCGCACCTCCTTATCAAGGAGTCTCCTCACCCAATGCCACTTAGGCCTTATGTGTTTTGTCAGCCCATGCAGACAAGCATTCTTGGCGAGCTTCACAGCGGACTCATTGTCACAATGTCCATCTGCCGTATCTTCCATCCCAGGAGTGCAGCTATCGCTAACAGCACCCTCAGTGTTGTTCCTTTCCCCACAGGAGCAAACACCTCATCATAGTCCTTCCCCTTTGTCTGCTGAAACCCCCGTGCCACAAGCCTAGACTTGTAGCGGGTCAGCTCCCCTTCAGGTCCATACTTGTGCCTGTAGATCATCTTGGAAGTGATTGCCTTCTTTCCAGGAGGCAAGTCACACAGGTCCCATGTCTCGTTTTCAATCAGGGACCCGAACTCCTCATCCTCACTCGCCTTCCACTTCTCCCCATTTGGTCCATTCAAAGCCTCCTCTCGAGTCTTGGGCTCAGGGATTGGTGCCCAGTAGCAGTGAGCGATCTCATCTTCCTCAATCTGCTCAACCACACTCCCAGCCTGCACCACATTTGGCTTGCCTCTTCCCCCATAGGTCAGCCTCACTGGAGGGCGCACATCCCTCCTAGGACGCTCAGGCGGGTGTGGAACTCGAGGTGGAGACTCATGCTGCTGCTGCTGCTGCTCTACTTCAGCTGCTCCCCCTTCCTCAGTCACCCCAGACATCTCCTCCTCTGACACTGCAACCTCCACCTGTCTTGAAGGCTGCTGCACCTCATCTGCCTCCACAATGAGCGGTGTAGATGGAAGCTTCTGTTGCTGCTGCTTCCATTCCTTGTAGTACAGGGACTCAAGAAACTTCACATCCCTTGACACTGTCAACTTCTGGGTGGTCAGGTCCCATAGCAGCCACCCCTTGTGATCCTTTGCAATCCCCAAGTGCACACCCCATCTTCCAGAAGCCTCCAACTTCCCCCTTTTCTCCTTAGGCACATGAAACACCACCATGCACCCAAATGCCCTCAGCATGTTCACAGCTGGAGCACTCCCATACCACTTGACATATGGGATCCACTCCTTATCTCCAACTGTAGCCAGCACCCTGTTCTTCACAAGGGCGACCTGCCTCAGTGCAGACACCCAAAACGGATCAGGCAGCCCTGCACGCCCAAGGAGAGTGCGTGCCCCCTCCTGCAGGGTCCTGTTGAACCTCTCAGCCACGCCATTCTGCTGCGGGTTGTAGGGCACTGTCAGTTGATGTTGGATCCCCTTCCTCTTCAACTCCCCCTCAAAATCAGCTCCAATGAACTCCCCACCATTGTCACTGCGGATCACCTTCACCTTGTATCCGCATTCCCTCTGAGCTCTAGGCATCCACTCCTTAAGGACAGCCGCTGCCACCTCCCCCTTGCTCTTCAAAGGGTAAACCCACACTGCCCGAGTGTGGTCATCCACAATTGTCAAGAAATAGCGGCTGCCTGAGAGGGAAGGGGCTCTTGTGGGCCCCACCACATCCATGTGCACAAGTGCAAGTGGGGTCTTGGCTGGTCCTGTAGTGCTGTTGAAGGGGAACTTGGAGAACTTGGTCTCCAAGCATGTAGGGCAGCTCCCAATCTCCTTCACTCCCCCTTTCACCTCCAAGCCCTTCAGGCTCCCATCCTTCACCAACTTCTGCAGCATAGGGAAGTTCACATGACACAGCCTCTCATGCCATGTCTCCCAATCGGCCTCTCCACTCCTTGATGAAGCCTTAGCCCATGCCGCACTCGCATCCACACCAGCAAGCACCTCACCATGTGTCTGCTGCTGCTGCACTTTCTTGACTGCTTCCAGGACCCCATCAGTTGGTGCAGTTGCATCTCCTCCTGCTGTTGCCTTTGCCGCTGCTGCCGTTGCTGCTGTTGGAGTCTTCCCATTCCATGGGATGATGGGCAGCTGCCACAGGTCCTTGATGCAGCTGGTCTCCTCTTCCAGACTCCACAGCACCTTCTTCCCAAGCTTAGCACGGCAGCTGGTTGGTCCAAAGGTCACTTCGGCCTTACTCTTCTGCAGTCGCCGCACAGAGAGAAGGTTAGCAGACAAGCCTTTAACCAGCAGAACATTCCCAAGCCCCACAAGCTCCCCATTAGCTCCCTTAACCTTGGCATTCCCAACACCAATCACGGGGAGCAAAGCACCTGACGCTGCTGCCACATACTTGATCTTCCCAGGGGGTTTTACCTCATCAAGCAAATCTGCCCGTGGGGTCATGTGACTGGTGCAACCTGAATCAATCACCCAGTGCGTGAGAGGGTGCATCACAACCTTTCCCACAGATCCCACATCACCCTCATGCCCATGCACATCCTCAACCATAAGAAACATCCCAGGATAGGCATTACCTTGTGCACCTTCACCTTGTGCACCTGAGCCTTGCACAGCACCACCTTGTGCGCGTTCACCACTGGGCGGCTTCATGCCTGGAGGTGCCCATCCCTCCGGCCTGCTGAAGCACTTGAACCAAGGATGCCCGACCTTCTTGCAGTACCAGCAGGTGCCCTCCATTCTGGTACTCCCCCTGCCACTGGAGCTCCCATGCCCCTCATTATAGTCACCTCGGCCTCTACCTCTGCCAAAGCTTCTCCCACGGCCTCGGCCTCTCCAACCCCCTCTTCCTCTGCCGCGCCCTGCAGCTCCATACCCCTCAGCAGTCTTAGTGGCAGCACCGCCTCCCACATGGCGTCTGCGGAAGTCCTCCTGCAGAATCTGCTGCCTTAGCCACTCAGGTGTCCATTGATCTTGCTGAGAGTTGAGGGTGGGGATGAGGTTGTCCCAAGAGTTGTCCAACACCGAGATGATCTTGGTGCACTGCTGCAGCTGAGATACACTACTGCCCGCTGCTGCCATCCTTGCATAGGTGTCCTTGATCTTGTCAAGGACCGGCTTCACATCGTCCCCTGGTCGCATGGAGATGGCAGCAAGTTCCTTCTCGAGCACGATCACCATTGGGAGAGTGTTGGGCTGAATCACATCACGTAGTAGTTTCCACGCCCTTGGACCCGAATCATCCGCTTCCACAAGATCCTTGATGTGCTCGAACATCTCCTTGTTGACCGATTGAAGGATGAGGTCGAAAAGCACCGCGCTTTTCTCAATCCACCGTTCGCGTGCTTCGCCTTCTTCCGGCATCTTCTCTTCCCCAACAGCAATCTTCAGTAGCTTGTAGCGTTTGAAGGCACTCCTCATCCGTCCGCTCCATTCCTCATAGTTGGAGCCATCCAAAGCTTCAACTTTTGATGGCGGCGGCTCACTTGTCTTCTCAGCTACAGCTCCTCTTCCATTAGCATCTCCTCCTCTCTCATTCATCTTCTCCTTGAGAAATGACGAATTTCAGCTCCCCTTTGCTGTCCACACTCAGCTCCCTCGATATTTTCACAAGTATCGGCGTCCACGAAATTTCGGCAGAGTTTCCCCTTAGCGGAAGACACATCCAACCTTTAGAACACCACTTAGGCACACCCACAGGCCATGGTGGGTCTAGAAGGGTCTTCACACTTCTGTAGACTCCTCTCAATGTCCTTAATATGGCTCTGATACCACTTGTTAGGATTAAGGACAGAGTCTAGGTGAACTTAGGAGCTAGAATTACTCAAAATATAAATCCGAAATTCTGGACAGAAAAGTCGTCTTCACAAGAAACGACGTCGACAAAAACCTAGCCGTTGGAATGTCGCGAAACTTGGATATGTTGTAGCTCTTAATCTCAGCTACCGTTCCCAATTTGAATCACGTTGATTGATGAAGTATTCGCGACGCTATGGCTTTCGACGCACTAGGGGGTAAGCTGTAGGAGGAGAACTTAACTCAATCTCAAGAGTTCAATCAAAGTTCAAGAATCTCACAAGGAATTAGAAGGAGCAAGAGAAAGGTTGGGATAGGAAGAGAGGGATGAGAGGGAAGGTCCCAAGAGAGTCCCCAACCAAGGAAACCCCATAAGCACAAAGATTCCCTCCCTATAGGAACCTCAACTTTGACCTTTGTCCCTTCCCAACCAATCCATCCAAGTTGGCCACCCTTGCCAACCTAGCTTGGTTGTTCCCAACCAATTTGCAGCTGTTACAGTAGAGTGACAAGTTTCCCCAACCCCAAAGGTCCCAACTCCATATAAAGTCACCCCACAACTTCACTTAGTAACCGCCGCAATTGTAACGCAAGCTCATGAACTTTGAATCTTCATAGCTTTCGCGTTCTTGCTCCGATTGAAGCGATTCTTGTTGCGTCGGAAAGATCTTCTCAAGATCTATCATCACAAATACCTGCTCAGACAGAATAACACAAAACACATTCCCAAACTCCAGAACACACCACACACAAATGCTTGCACATTCAAACCACACATGCAAGTTGAAAAAACATGGGATGGGAGGCAGACAGAATGTGATAGCATATGATGACATCACACAACAAAGCTAAGGTAAGCAAAGCGAAGCTTATCGAAGCTAAGCGAAGGGAAGCGAAGTGAAGCGTAGCGAAGCGAAGCAAAGCTAAGGGAAGCTAAGCAAAGCTAAGAGACGCAAAGTGAAGCTAAGCGAAGCTAAGCGAAACGAAGCTATGCGAAGAGAAGCAAAGCAAAGCGAAGCGAAGCGAAGCTCAGAGAAGCGAAGAGAAGCAAGTGAAGCTAAGCGAAGTGAAGCTGAGCGAAGCGAAGCAAAGCGAAGCGAAGCTAAGCGAATAGAAGCGAAGCTAAGCAATGTGAAGCAAAGCTAAGCGAGGCTAAGCGAAGCTAAACGAGGCGAAGTCAAGCTAAGCAAAGCTAAGCGAAGAGAAGTGAAGCAAAGCTAAGAGAAGCGAAGAGAAGCGAAGCGAAGCTAAGCGAAGCGAAGCAAAGCTAAGGGAAGCGAAGCAAAGCTAAGCGAAGTGAAGCTAAGCTAAGGGAAGCCAATCAAAGCTAAGCGAAGCAAAGCGAAGCGAAGCAAAGCTAAGCAAAGCTAAGAGAAGCTTGGTGAAGCGAAGCAAAGTTAAGCGAAGCGAAGCGAAGCTAAGCAAAGCGAAGCTAAGTGAAGCGAAGAGAAGCTAAGCGAAGCAAAACTAAGATAAGTGAAGCTAAGCGAGGAGAAGCGAAACGAAGCTAAGCTAGGCGAAGCGAAGCGAAGTGAAGTCAAGCAAAGCTAAGCAAAGCGAAGCTAAGCGAAGCAAAGAGAAGTGCAGAGAAGCAAAGCAAAGCCAAGCAAAGCGAAGCGAAGCTAAGCAAAGCTAAGAGAAGCAAAGCGAAGCTAAGTGAAGCGAAGCGAAGCTAAGCGAAGCGAAGCGAAGCTAAGCTAAGTGAAGCGAAGCAAAGCGAAGCTAAGGGAAGCAAAGCGAAGCTAAGGGAAGCGAATCGAAGCAAAGCTAAGCGAAGCTAAGTGAAGCGAAGCAAAGCGAAGCGAGGATATGTGAAGCAAAGCCAGGCAATGGGAAGCTAAGCGAAGCTAAGCGAAGCGAAGCGAAGAGGAGTGAAGCGAAGCTAAGCGAAGCGAAGCGAAGAGAAGCGAAGAGAAGCGAAGCGAAGCGAAGCTAAGCGAAGGGAAGTGAAGCTAAGCAAAGCAAAGCGAAGAGAAGCGAAAAGAAGCGAACCGAAGCTAAGAGAAGCGAAGCGAAGATATGCGAAGCGAAGCGAAGCTACGCGAAGCAAAGCAAAGCTAAGCGAAGCGAATCTAAGCAAAGCTATGCGAAGCGAAGCGAAGCTAAGCAAAGCGAAGAGAAGTGAAGCGAAGCATAGAGAAGCGAAGCAAAAAGAAGCGAAGCTAAGAGAAGCAAAGCGAAACTAAGCGCACGTATGCGAAGCGAAGCGAAGCTAAGCGAAGCTAAGTGAAGCAAAGGGAAGCGATCCGAAGCTAAGGGAAGCGAACACGAAGCTAAGCGAAGCTAATCGAAGCGAAGCGACCACGAAGCTAAGTGAAGCTAATCGAAGCGAAGAGAAGCGATGTGAAGCTAAGCCAACGTAAGCGAAGCTAAGAGAAGCGAAGCGAAGCTAAGCTAAGCGAGGCGAAGCTAAGCGAAGATAAGGGAATCGAAATGAAGCTAAGCGAAGTTATGCAAAGCGAAGCGAAGCTAAGCGAAGCTAAGCGAAGCGAAGCGAAGCTAAGGGATGTGAACCAAAGCTAAGGGAAGTGAAGCGAAGCAAAGCTAAGCGAAGCGAAGCAAAGCAAAGCAAAGCAAAGCGAAGCTAAGAGAAGCTAAGCGAAGCAAAGCGAAGCAAAGCAAAGCCAAGCGAAGCGAAGCAAAGCCAAGCGAAGCTAAGCGAAGCGAAGCGAAGCTAAGAGAAGCAAAGGTAAGCGAAGCGAAGAGAAGCTAAGCGAAGCAAAGCGAAGCTAAGCGAAGCAAAGCGAAGCTACGCGAAGCAAAGCTAAGCAAAGCAAAGCAAAGTTAAGCGAAGCTATGCGAAGCTAAGCTAAGCGAAGCGAAGCTATGCGAAGCGACGCGAAGCTAAGCGAAGTGAAGCGAAGCGAAGAGAAGCGAACCGAAGCTAAGGAAAGTGAATCGAAGCGAAGCTAAGCGAAGCGAAGCAAAGCTAAGCGATGCTAAGCGAATCTAAGAGCAACTAAGCGAAGCGAAGCGATGCTAAGCGAAGCGAAGCGAAGCTAAGCAAAGCAAAGCGAAGTTAAGCGAAGCTAAGAGAAGGGAAGCTAAGCGAAGCTAAGTGAAGCTAAGCGAAGCGAAGCAAAGCGAAGCGAAGCTAAGCGAATCTAAGCGAAGCTAAGCGAAGCAAAGCAAAGCTCAGCGAAGCTAAGCGAACTTAAGCGAAATGAAGCTTAGCGAAGCGAAGCTAAGCGCAGCGAAGCGAAGAGAAGCAAAGAGAAGCAAAGCAAAGAGAAGCGAAGCGAAGAGAAGCAAAGAGAAGCGGAGCGAAGAGAAGCGAAGCTAAGAGAAGCAAAGAGAAGCGTAGCGCAGCTATGCGAAGCGAAGCGAAGCTAAGCGAAGCTAAGCGAAGCGAAGTGAAGCTAAGGGAAGCAAACCGAAGCTAAGGGAAGCAAAGCTAAGCGAAGCAAAGCGAAGCGAAGCGAAGCGAAGCGAAGCTAAACGAATCGAAGCTAAGCTATTCGAAGCGAAGCAAAGCGCAGCGAATCTAAGCAAATCAAAGCGAAGCAAAGCGAAGAGAAGCGAAGCAAAGCCAAGCAAAGCTAAACGAAGCTAACCGAAGCGAAGCGCAGCTAAGCATAGCGAAGCGAACCAAAGCGAAGCGAAGCGAAGCTAAGGGAAGCGAACCGAAGCTAAGGGAAGCGAAGCAAAGCGAAGCGGAGCGAAGCGAAGCTAAGCAAAGCAAAGCGAAGCTAAGCGAAGCTAAGCGAAGCTAAGCTAAGCTAAGCGAATCTAAGCGAAGCTAAGCGAAGCGAAGCTAAGCGAAGCTAAGCGAAACTAAGCTAAGCTAACCGAAGCTAAGCGAAGCGAAGCGAAGCGAAGCGAAGCAAAGTGAAGCTAACGGAAGCGAACTGAAGCTAAGGGAAGCGAAGCGAAGATAAGCTAAGCGCAGCTATGCGAAGCGAAGCAAGGCTAAGCGAAGCTAAGAGAAGCGAACGGAAGCTAAGGAAAGCGAAGCTAAGCGAAGCGAAGCAAAGCTAAGCGAAGCTAAGCGAATCTTAGCGTAGCTAAGAGAAGCAAAGACAAGTGAAGCTAAACGAAGCTAAGCGAAGCTAAGCGAAGCGAAGTCAAGCTAAGCAAAGTGAAGCTAAGCGAAGCAAAGCGAAGTTAAGCGAAGCTAAGCGAAGCGAAGCGAAGCGAAGCGAAGCGAAGCTAAGCGAAGCTAAGCAAAGCTATGCGAAGCTAAGCGATGCTAAGCGAAGCGAAGCGAAGAAAAGCGAAGAGAGGCAAAGCGAAGCTAAGCGAAGCGTAGCTAAGCAAAGCTAAGCGAAGCGAAGCAAAGCGAAGGGAAGCGAAGCTAAGCGAAGCGAAGCGAAGAGAAGCATAGAGAAGCAAAGCGAAAAGAAGCGAAGCTAAGAAAAGCAAAGCAAAGCTAAGCGCAGGTATGCGAAGCGAAGCGAAGCTAAGCGAAGCAAAGCTAAGGGAAGCAAAGCGAAGCTAAGCGAAGCAAAGCAAAGCTAAGCGCAGGTATGCGAAGCGAAGCAAAGCAAAGGAAAGCTAAGCGAAGCGAAGTTAAGGGAAGCGAACCGAAGATAAGGGAAGCGAAGCGAAGCGAAGCGAAGCTAAGCAAAGCAAAGCGAAGCTAAGCGAAGCAAAGCGAAGCTAGGCGAAGCGAAGTGAAGCTAGGCGAAGCTAAGCAAAGCAAAGCGAAGCTAAGCGAAGCTAAGCGAAGCTAAGCGAAACTAAGCGAAGCAAAGCTTAGCTAAGCTAAGCGAAGCGAAGTGAAGCTAAGGGAAGCGAACTGAAGCGAAGGGAAGCGAAGCGAAGCTAAGCTAAGCGCAGCTATGCGAAGCGAAGCAAGGCTAAGCGAAGCTAAGAGAAGCGAACGGATGCTAAGGAAAGCGAAGCGAAGCGAAGCTAAGCGAAGCAAAGCAAAGCTAAGCGAAGCTAAGCGAATCTAAGCGTAGCTAAGCGAAGCGAAGCGAAGCTAAGCGAAGCTAAGCGAAGAGAAGCGAAGCAAGCCAGGCAATGCGAAGCTAAGCGAAGCAAAGTAAAGTTAAGGGAAGCGAAGCGAAGCTAAGCGAAGCAAAGCGAAGCGAAGCTCAGCGAAGCGAA